AACTGCCCAAAAATAAAAGAAAACTGATTCCATTAGTCTTGAGAGTTCACATAACCGAATTCAACCGTACATATCTCCAACAAGTCCATAAAATTAATACAAACTTAAGCCATAGCATGAATGAGCTGGCTCCAGTAGCCCTTTGATTTTCGTTCAAATTCCACGTTTTAATTTGAGCTGTGGGTTTTTAGCAATCATGACAACTGTTGCCAGTCACAAAGAATAGGGAAATCAATTAAAGGTATTTTCAGAGTTGATTAACTTATTAATGTCGCTGTAAATACACACCATTAGATGTGGTCAAGTTTATTGTGAACATCTGCGAATAAACGACCCACTTTTTTTACAATAGTGCTTTTTTGGAGTTTTTTCTCCCTAAATCATGCTTGAAAGATAGGTGGCGGCTTACACACGAGTCGAGTTTTTACGGTACATGTTCTCCAGAATTTTGGCCGAGGAGGGAATGGGATCATGGCGGTTAGGCTAGAGATAACTAGCGACTAAATACAGGAATGGCTCCGACCTGTTAATTGGATAATAAAATAGTAAAAGTTAATAAGTTATATCTTAACTCCTTGCTTGCGAGTATTGTTTAACTGTGTGTCTCGAAGCGGAACAATGTTTTATAAAATCATTTACTCTTTCTTGTTATAGCCAAAAAGCTGTCCGAAGATTAGTTGTGCTATCGCTGCAAACAATCAAGATACTTGACATGATTCAGTGCAAGAGTTTCTGCCATTGATATGACTGGTAAGAGGTTTTTTTTGTTTTTTTTTTCCTTTTTCAGGTCTAGTGAAGTTGTTGGAAATTACCAAGCAAAATTAAAGTAATTCGCGACTTTCTTCCTTTAGGTGTTGTGCAAAAATAGATGAGGAGCTCGATGAATGGATTTGTCCTTCATGCGAACAATTATCCCAGAAAATCAGTTTTCCACAAAAAAAACTCCTTCGATTGTGGCCAAGCCACATTTCTCCAGCAGAGCATACTGTAGATTAAAAATCTCGGTCACGCAACATGGCATGGCATGTCCAAACGTGACATGCAGTTGCTGC